GTGCCAATCGAAAATCGATACGAACCCCGCCGAGTACGTGTGTCCAATCATCCTGCTCGACAGGAGTGGCGGATAGGTCCCCCAGATCATGCTCTGCACCCGCACGCCCCCCTCGAAGATCTCGTTCTTGTTCCCTCGGAGAGGATAGTTGTTTCCTGGCGAGTTGAAGTTCCAAGCAGAGCCTCCGTTGTCGCTCGAGACGATGCCGAGCCAGTCGTCGGACGAGAGGGTGTCCATGTACGACGTCAGCTCGCTGATGGCGAGGTTGATGGTCGCCGAGGCGGCGCACCCATTCCTGCGCTGCGGGTTCGCGACGTGCGTGCAATTGGCGTAGAAACGGCTCGGATGAGAGTCGTCGTCGCCGGAATCGCGGATGGCGTTCGTCGCAAAGTACAGAAAGAGTGGCACGCCGGCGGTCTTCCCGGCGCTCCCGTACCTGGCAACGTGGTCGTTCAGGAAGCGGAACGCCTCCTCCTGCAGCTCGGTCGGCGAGTAGTAGTCCTCGGCGTCCGCGTAGTGCCGCCGCATAAAGGGGTCCTGAGTGAAACCACGGACACCTCAGGGAGAGAGACTGGGGAGAGAGGCGTGATCGTCGTGATTTCTCTTGAGACTGGTAGTGGCCCGGCACGCGCCATCTCGCGCCCGGCAGGGCCCGGCACGCGCCCAGCATCTAAGATCGGACCAGAGCAGAGGAGGCGCTGTTTTCAAAGGCGGTGTTTTCCATGTAGTACACGTTGTATTTGTTCGTCTTATGGCCGCAAACCGAGTCGTACGCGAGCGGGTTCTCGAGCAGCCTATTAATCAATGATGTCACTCATAGCGATGAACAGCAGTGTGTGAGATCCGTCCGGCTCGTGTGCCCGAAGAAGCGGTTGAAGCCGCGCGAGGTTGGCAGGTGAGCCGCTTGCACGCCGCAATGCCACTTGCCGACCATGTAGCTCAGGTAGCCAGTGGAGCTGAGCTTTTGCATCAGCGTCACCTAGTATCAAACCAGCAATGGCCTGCTGTGCTGCCGCTGCTGCTTACGCCTGTGCTGTCAGCGCTAGTGTACACACCTCCTGCGAGCGCGAAAAAACCTTGGGCTGCACAAGGTGACTCGGCCGGCCGGCGATGAAGGACGCCCGGCTGGGCGCGCAAACCATATCCGCGTACGTCCGGTCGACCAGGATGCCTCGCTGCCGCCACAGGGCGTTCGCGTCGCTGTAAACGCCGGCGTAGTCGGTGGAGGTGAGAAAGTCGTTGTAGCCGGTGTCGTCCTGCAAGAAGAAGAGCAGGTTGAGCAGCGGCGGAGAGCTCGGTGCGCCCGGCGGCGGCGGCGACAGGGCCGAGCCGGGCAGCGGCGTCGCCAGCAGCGAGCGGATGGCGAAAATGATCATCTGCGTTTGGTCACGCTTGGTTCCCCGTGTCGGCGCGGTGCGTGGCAGGCGCGAGACGCGAAAGCACCGCTGTGGAGCGAACCGATACCGTGAGGCGGAGGGCAACCTCGGCTGATCGGCATGCTCAAACCGGGGGCTCAAAAAAAAATCCTGCACGGGCTCTCTAGCCCGTAGCCCGATCCCGATCATCCGGCCCGCTGGGTGCGCTTCTGAGCTCCCCGGCCCTGGATGTGAGGCTGCCGACTGCACTCCAAGTGCTCAAAGTGATGACTGCACTCCAAGTGGAGGAATGGTAATGACCTCTCCGGATTGGTTGAGCCCCAGCATCGATGGCGGGAAGAGGGAGGATCCCCGCCCCTATCCCTCAGTTTAATCCCCGAGAGGAGAGGCAGAGCCTCTGGCGCGGTGAGACCACCCGTACGTACGCTCTCAAGGCCGACCCCCCCTCTTGAGTGCACTCCAAGTGCTCCAAGTGGCTTCTTGTGACGCCTTCCCATCAATCAATCAATCTTGTGAGCCTGTTTGTGTCTGTGTGTCGCTCGTGCGTGTCGTCATCATCTGTCTAGCGTCCACCCATACCGCGTTGGTGTCCAGTGGTCCGAGCCTGGCTGTTCTTCACCTTTCTACCTACCTACCTGGCTTGTCTCGCTTGCGGCGCCGTGTGTTGGCGTTTTGAATCTCGGGGTGCGCGCTTTAAGTTTTGCGAGCACTTTTCTTAAGGTTGCTCCCGGCCCAGTGGGGATTTATTTTTGGCCTACTCAGTGACCGTCTAAGCGGCCCTAAATGGCCTACAATGCCATATCTTTTGTGCCTAGGTTGTACAGTCTGATGCGGGCATTAAGAATTCTTAAGATACAAGCCTCTCTCACAGCACACTGGCACGACAAGGGCGCAGACTGGCGCGGACTGGCACACACACAGGCTCACCACCGGAGCCGCCTAAGCGACTCCGTTAAGAACGGCAATGCACTCCGCACCATGCACAATGCCGCTCTCCCCGCACGCTAGCTCGTTCACCGTCTGCCACGCCACGGCGGTGTGGAGGACGACAGACAAGCGCTGCATCTGCAGCCCGTGCCAGTTCTTGGTGGTCCATGTGACCTCGTCCAGGTGCTGAGCGTGCGAAAGTTTATTGCTCAGCTGGTTCGCCGCCTCCCTCAGGGTGCTGCTAACCTTCTTGGCCAAGCCTTCCTAAAGCCTCAAAATCTAACAAACGTATATCTTCATTCCTGCTGTCCGCGCAAAGGGGTAATCTGCCGGCCTGCCTCCCTTGAACTTTTCTCTTGGGGGGTTATCCTCTTTCCTTCCCCTTCTATTTCATGTTTTCTAGGGCGTA